CCCGCCCGGGATTCCCCCCCCCCCCCCGCCCCCCGCAGATCTAATGAGCTACCTAGAACAGTCTTTATAAACCAACCAGGACCGGCCCTTCCTCCTTGACAGATCCATCCGAGACCAGCTGGAATCTCTCCCTCTTCAATCCTCTTCCCCCCCCTTTGGATTTACTGGTCTTGGAAGAACCTTCCTGGACCTTCCAGGGTCCAGCCTTCCCAGCGGGCTCCCCCTGACTCGGGTGGTCTTTTTGGAAGACCCATCCCCTTGGAAGATCCCTCCAAGACCCAACCAGGCTCGGCCACTTGGGCTCCGGTGCCTTTTTCTTTTATGTGCATTAGTGGATCCAATTTTTGGTTTCCTTCCCCCGCTGCCGTCGCGGCCTCTGATGGTGCCTCCCGCATCCCCTCCCCCAAGTTCAGACGCTGCGTCGAGCGCGAAGACTCGTGACGGCGGGGGACATTTGCGCTGCGTTGGAGCCTCCTTACACCGACCCAGACCCTGGCTGGCTGCCCAGCCTGGCTATAAAGCCTCCTCCAGCGAAGAGACCGGGTGGGATTTATTCTGCCTTAGGAGGAAGATGAGAGGCCGGCTCCCACGAGGCAAAGGGACGGGAATCCGAGATCTTAGTGGAGCAAAGAACTTGTGATCTCGGCTGTTTGCCCCTTTCGCGTGCCAGAGATCTCCTGTTACCAGGCCAGACCTGCCCGCTTGTGGCTTGACCTCTGGGGCAGGGCCCAGGGACCACAACCCAACCCCAATGGCGCCTCTCTGCACTGCGCTGGCGTCCCTGTGGCGGGCTGGCTCCGGCGTGGCGCTTGAGAGACGCCAGCGGGGCGGGAGGGCTGGAGTCTCAGCGGCGCCAGCCTGGCGCCACTGAGACGGGCGCCGCTGAGACGGGAGCTTGCCTGGGAGGTGGGATCGGACGCGCTGCCTTGCCCGCGGCACTGGGGACTTGGCCTGTTGGGGTGCCCGGCTGGAGAGAGCTCCGGATGTATCCCCCCGTACAAAGTGCCTGGATCTGGGACGAGAGGAAGCCTGGTGGGAACCCCTCAGCGCCACCGCCGTCAGCTTTAGAGTCTCAGGAAGGCCAAGCAGAGAGCTGGCTGCGCTGTAGCTGAGACGGGCATTTACTGTAGGTCCTATTGAAAAACAAAGCTCTGAAAGAGGAAGGGCCTGCCTGCTTGGCTCCCTGCAGGGAAGCAAGCTGGCTGCTAGAGGTCAGTGAGAACGCCCCAGCCGGGATGGGAAGAGCCTGGCCCTGCAAAGCTCTGGGTTGGGAGCCCCCGGGGTGGGCGAGGGACCGGCTGGACCCCAGCTGTCGTACGTAGCCCCATTTCCAGAGGGATTGGCGCATCGCAGAAGGGTCCGATCTCGGAGGCCCACCCATCCCCTGCTCCTCCAAAGCCCGCGAGGCCGGGAGACAAATTCCCCAGGACGCGGCGTTGTGGCCACCCGTCCCTGGCAGACGGTGACTCTTTTCTGGGCTGCTGGACTAGCCCCCGTGTCGGCTGCCCCACAGCTGGGTACCCTGGTCCGTGAAGTCTGGGGCAGCCGATTTAATCAGACTCAGGGGCCTGGCCCATCCTGTCAGCTAGTGAGTTTCACCCCCGCCCCCTTAGCTGGCCTGGCTGTAACTGACGCAGTCGTGCGGCAGCGTGTCCCTCCGCTCGGACTGGTCGCCGAGCTCTCTGCTTGCACACGGGGGCAGCCCGTGCCGGTCTGGGCTCCTCACCCTCCTGAGACCCTGGCGCGGCCCCTTGAGGGCCCCCCCGGGAGTCTGTAACATTTCATCCCTGCAGGCATGTTCCCGCCCTGGGCAGCAGCTTTCAAATGCCACATTCCTCCCTGCTCTGCGGGCGGGCGTGTCTCCCTCCCCTCTGCCCAGGGAAGGGAGCAAGTGGGGCTCTGACCTGGGGGGCACATTGGCCATCTCTTACAGTCGGTTCCGTATCTTCCTGGCAGGGGACAGGTTCCCAGGGCCTCGCCCCTCACATCCAGGGGCATCTGCCTCCCCATCTGTTTGCTCCCCTGCCTTGCCAATGCCGGGAAGGTGCCTGACTCCCTTGTCCAGCAGAGCAGCCCCCTCCAGCCCATCTCGGGGGAGTCCGACGCACTGACCCCTGGCGGGTGGCAGGCTCACTAGCCCATGGGGCCGGCAGCCCTTCCCCACAACAGTGCAGCCCTGAACAAACACTGAGTCCTGCCCTGCTTCTTTGGGAGCAGATCAGAGCCGCAGCATGCCCAGCGTGAGGAAACGGAGCTGCCGGCCCCGGTTGTTTGTGCCGCTTCCTGTGAACAGACGGGAGTTGGAGGAGGCAGGTGGGGGGCTAGACTGGAATCCAGCGGACGCTTGCGTCCTTAAAACACCTCCGTGCTTGCTGCCAAGGTTAGCATCTTCCACTCGCTGCCAAGAAACAGGGCGCGTCTGCTCCAAACCTAGTCGGAAACCAGGCCCTCAGCCGAGCCCTCGGGATCCGCTTCCTGCAAACGCAGGCAAGACTTGACAGGATCCATCAGGCTCTTCCACGTTCTCCTCCCCTCCCGCTCCTTGCTCAGCGTTGAAAGGGTGCAGACCCCTTGTAGGGATCGCAAATGGCTATCTGACTTGCCTGCTAACCTGCCAGCGGTGCCACCTAATCGGAACGGGGCAGGGAGAAAACCCGTGTTCCTCTGGGAGCGCGACACCCTGAGGGCCTGGGGCCTCCTCTTGCATGTGGTCAGTCCAGGCTGGGCTCTGTGCCTGAGGCAGAGGTGCAGAAACGAGGAAATGGCTCGGCTTGGTTGGAAGCGGAGCGGGGTCTGAGCTGCCTCCGGTCCCACAGACGGGGGATTCCTCTTAGCAGCTGCACCCAGAGCGGGGTCTGCTCCTGGGGGAGGATTTTGCCAAAGAGGTCAGGAGGGGCAGGTAGCTACAGTCTCAGGCCCAGATCCTCCAAGGAATTCAGGTGCTTCGCTCAAGAGCCAGTGTCGCTGAAGGGCTCCAAGTGTCGTTCGGTGCCAGAGGAGGAGCCAGGGTTCCCCCAGTGCCGTGTGCCGCTCTCAGGAGGAGTCTGATTGGTTCCATGGCCATCGGTTCTTTGAGTCTCGCAGGACCGTGGGTGGGAACTTTTGAATCCAGCTCCAGCTGCGCTTGGCCTGAAAGCTGGTTCTTTTAGCTCCCTGGGCTGCTTTCCAGTCTAGACCATGGGGCTTGGGGGAGCGCTGCGAAGCCGTTCCTGAGACAGCCCATGCTGGGGGATTCTCGGGCGTGGCGGGGCGGTTTACCAAGTGCCTGAAAGACACTTTATTGAGGCAGCTGGGGTCTGATGCTTTATCTCCCCAAACCTGGTGCAGGACACACATTCCAACACCTAGGCTATATTTAGCTTGTTTAGGCCTCCAGCTCGGGCATTTTCCTAGTCTCCTTTTGGCTTTTAATCTCTGGGTCCCAGCTTCCTCCCAGATCTTGTTCCTGCTTGTGGATTGGCTTCTCCTGCCTGCCTCCAGTCGCAGAAAGGGCAGTTGTGTTGGGTTTGAAAGCACCCTGTGTTTACAATGCCATAGGAACCACAGCGGCTGTAAATGCTCAGCTCCACCAAAGTCAACAGGAGGAGCACAGTGTGTGCTCTGCCCTGCCATTTGAGCTGGCCAACCCCCCGGGACGGGTAAACCCAAAGGCCTTTTGAATGGATTCAATTTCCCCGAGGTGGTGTCTCTCTGGGTCAACAGCTCCTTGTTAATTTCACTCCTTTGCCAGCTGAGCTGGCAAAACTCCTCGGGCAAAAATCCAGATTTTAAAAATTGAGCCAGAGAACCCTTGTTGGGTTTTTGGGGGTGAAAAATCCTCGGGACTCTCCCTGTTTAAACGTTAAGGCAGCCCCTGCGCTGGGAAATCGGATCTCGGCTTCTTTTGCCGTGGGCGCTCAGAGAAGAGGTGGGAAGTTTCCGCTGTCATCAGCTGCAGGGGGCTGGCAGCCCCCCCTCCTCCCAGCAAGCGGATCGACTTAGAACCGGGTCGACCCCCAGTGTTTTAGTGACATTTCCAGACATTCCAGCCATGTTTACTGCCCGCTTAGCCCTGCTGTGCTAGAATAGTGCCGTGTCTTTCCCTTTCCTGGCTTTGTGAACAGGGCCCCCTTCCAGACCCCTGCTCTGCTGCTCCGCTCCATCGGCCTGTTTGATCTCTTGCTAAGGGAAGGGGCTTGGCAGATGAGATGCCAGCGGTGAACAGAACCCAGCGGTGCTGAGTTGTGAATGTTTTTTTTTCTTGAGCCTTTTCTTATTTTATGCTGTTTTATTTATTTGAGCAAACCTCCTGTGCTTTTAAGATTATTTACCCAGCCGGGCTGTTTAAACAGGACAAAGGTGGTGAGGCGAAGGTGAAACTCACACGGGTGGTGCTGAAAATAGCCAGCTGGGGTCCCCGTGGCGGGGGGGGAGCAAAGCAGCTGTTGCGCCACAAATCGAGCGGGCGACTTCTCCTGGCTCACGGGTTCCACGTTGCAGTGGCTTCTGGGAGGAAGATCAGAGCAGCAGCCAAGAACTGAACGCAGCCAGTTCCCAGCGCTGCCTTAGGTGGATCAAGGCATCACCTTTCACGCCCGCGTGCCCGGACAGAAATCCAGACAGCTGCGCCTCAGCGTTGGGCTGGCAAACTGGTTGGGGCCAGGGCGGGGAGGGCCCTGGCTTTCTGGCCTCTGGCTAAGTGCGGCTGTCCTACCCCCGTGTGGAAGGGGGCGATTGTACAGTTGGAGACCCCAGAATGTTCCTGGGCCAACCGTGTCCGGCTCAGTCCTTTGGGGTGATGTGCCACGGGCGTGAAAGTGGAAATAAAAGGAGGAGGAAGTGACTGGTGGTGGCTGGGTTTGTTCATGGGCAGGGGGGAAGGAATGAAATAGAACTGGTGCCTGCCACAACCACTGTCCCACTCCCTGAGTTGGGGAGAGCAG